TTGAACAGGAAGTTTGATCGAAAACCAGTTTCTTGTTTTACGACTCACAAACCCCAAACAGGGTCTGTCAGCAGGTCTTTGCTGTAAATAGGACAGCTCAGCACCTGTGGAAGGCTAGTAGGAAGGCCTGAAGAACTGCTCTCAAGTGGAACAGGCTGCTCCTTGAAACAACTGTCCAGCTTATAGGAAAAGTCTACAGCCTAATTTAAACAAATGTAATTATTTTCACCAATGTTGATAAATAGATGCATTTTTTAAACTCGACATGAGTTAGGTATACATCTCTGTTTTACCAGCTTCTTGCCATCCCTGCCTCAGGGAGCAACAGCCACTGCCTGGTTTACCTTGCTGAATTGTGAATGTGGACCAGGACTACATTTGCTGCCAACAATACCAGCTGTAAATCCCCAGGAGCTTGAGTGCATGAAGGTAGCCAGGCAGGTTAAAATTGTCATATCAGAGATCAAAGGTCAACAAAGCAATTTGCCCCAAATTATGCCATTGGTCTAATTGTATTAATTATTATTATTTCTTTGTAGTGTGTAAGCAGACATTCCAAAATGTTGGCTTTTTGATACGTTATATGTTTGTGCATTTTATTAGACTAATTTGAAGTATTCAAAAAGATGAATAAATTGCCACTCTGTTTGCTTTATCTGCTGTTGCACCCTGTGCCCAACAGATGTCACATATGAAATTCAAATTACATCTTCAAATGGAGCATGACTTGGTAATGAATAATTCAAGACATATACTGAAAATTAGAATGCTGTTTTTAAACAGTGTGTTTCTTAGCACAGGCAACGTTAGTGGAAAAATACTCACCTATTTATCTGGCCATTTTCCACCTCTGTGAAATCATTTGAATCATTGCTGATGTTATCATCTTCAGGGACAGTCATATTCTGCAATTCAGTCAGTTCTAATCCAGCTTTGAAAGGCATCCTGGAACTGTGCTATCCAAGTATTTCTCCAAATATTAGTGTTTGGTTGGTATCTTGTGAGTAAACTGCAGCCACAGTGTCAGCAACCTAAATGAAACACAAGAAAAAAAACCAAGATATATACTGCCAACAGCAGGCAATATAACCAGAAGAAACCAGTGGAACCTGGACAAGAGGGACCGTCCTTACCCAACCAATTTTGTATTGTTAGAAGGAACTGAGGTTATAACCTAAATGCATTGCAGAACAGTAAGTAGTAACCCTATACACCTTAATGATATCAGCTTCACTAAGCTTACAAATTTATCTGGTCCCGCAACCAACTGCTGAAGACAGTACTTGTATTTATAAACTAGTGAGCAAACAAATGCTATTTGTTTCAGGAAAAAATATTAACCACCTACAAATTAAAGGAATAAAAAATAATTTGCTTGTCTAAGTCCCATTTTGATACTCGGTGTTTGTCTTCTGTATGTTCTCCATTCTTACTTAAAAATATAAAATATATTGTGTCCATGCTGTTGCTAAGTAGATGCAACAGAGGGATAGAGTTATCCCAGTGCTCTTTTCTACTCATATCTGTATTCCAGGTATTTGAATATGTTAAGGTTTTTTGGCAAAGTCGATGTGGAGAGGATGCTTTGTGTATGGTTAAACTTACTCTGAACAAAGGCAGAAACAGACAAAACCAAATCCCTAAACTCGTGTATCATAGGAAAAAAGAGTAATGTATATCTTGTGTCAACCAGTTATTATCTAGAGATCAGGTGATCTCTCCTCTGATAGATATGTTGCATAAAATTACCAAGAATATTACACCAAAGGCAGACCAGACAAGTCTGGTACAGTGATATATTTCCTCATCAGCAATGCAAATCAACTGAAAGACCAATATCTTCCAGAGTCCAAGCACTCTCGGCTGAGCTACAACTCCAAAGCAGTGCTGAGGCAACAGGATGTTACTCACAAACAAGCTCCTGCACCACAACTCTCTCAATTCCCATTTTGTAAATGAATTTCTTGCAGTATTGCCAAACGATTCACCCTGGAGTACATGGTGAACCGTCCCATGCCAGATTATTTTGGGGATATTTTAAAATTCTCAGGGCTACCTCAAAACCATCAGATGGCTCTCATGTAACCAAAGAAGCCGGAGCATCCCCCTGGCTCTTGCAGGGCATTGTGTTGAGGCAGGAGGACGTAGTTCACTTGTTCAGTTATGACATCTGCCTGTTTCAAATTAAGTTTACAGGACCCAATACTTCTGTTTTACACCACATACCCAGCATGCAGAAAAGGACTTTGCAAATGAGCATTTTTTTTTCCCTGTAAACACTTTCTCAGAAATGTAATTTTATCTTGAGGTTTCCATGTGCTCTTAACGTTTCCACAAGAGCCCAAACTGTGCAGATTTCAGGTGCAAGGTTTAAAGGCGAGCCTTGAGGCTTGCAGTAGGGCAGGATCTGCTCTTTTCTGCTGAACGAGCAACTATGCACGTGGTTATGGTGGCAGATGTGGCTTGGTACAGCCTGGTGCGAGGATGGGGGGTGGATGTGAGCTGGGTCCTTTTCAACTCCTCTGCAAAGGAGATTTCCTCTACAGATACCAGGGGAGTGACCTCTCGGGTATTAAAATGTTGGCACAGTAAAAAAAATAAATGGATTTAGTCTGCTGATAGATAAATGCAGACTGGCAAGCAAAGGGTGGTTTTAGCAGTGACATTCTGGAAAAGTCTTCCCAGAGGCTGCAGGGATAAAATAATCTACCTATTTTGGAAGAGAAGCATGATCTTTTTATAAAAGGATAAAGCCACAGGAGACAGCGACTGCTGAGGTGGCAAGGACTGAGCCTGCTGAATCCTGAAGCTTCTTGTGACCGTGAGTTGCTAAAATAAACAATTCCTTAATAGACATGACAACCTCTGTATTGAGATCTGTATCCCCTGGCATTTAAAAACCTGTGCAAAGGTTCACCTAAGAATTAAACAGAGCAGCTTTCCCTTTGGGAGCCGTTTTGCATCATGGTCCCCCAGGAGGATTTTCAGAACTGCCTTGACATTGCCTGTGCTTAATAAATTCCCCATTAACTGTTTCAAAGGCTGGTGCTGAAATTAGCACTCCTGCGAGGTAAACAGCGTGCTGGAGCACAGGCCCCACAGCTCACTCCACCGTTCTGCCCCTCTGCAGCTGAAATGCTGCAAGGCCAGACTGGCAGGAGAACGGCTCGCCGGTTTATTCGCAAGGAGTCTTTGCAGTGCAAAAAGTGGCAACCTTTTTTTTTTTTTTTTGTTTTAACCAAATCTCCGATTCTACAGAAAACTGACTGAATGAAGACAGAGCGAAATCTTAGCGCAAGCTGTGCCAGCTGAAGCACCAGGATCCATTTCAGCAGATTCCAGGTTTCATCACTTCCAGATGAATTGCTCCTGAAGCAGCCTGAGAGCAGGCACATCTTTGGATCTGCCTCAGGTTCTTGCCAGGTTTAGTGATTTACTAAAAAAACACCAAAGCAAAACCCTGAAACAAAAAAAAAATTGTTGAGTGAAATAATGCATTGCACTTCCAAGTGTGAGAAAACCTGATCTTGGCACCAATTGTGAGGAGGGTGAAGAGAGAGCAGTGGGGCTGAGGACCAAAACTTTCACTGTCAAAGCGTGAACTTGTTGCAAATTTTGGCAAAGGATAACCACCTTATCCTCAGCACCTCCATCTGCAAAATTAAGACGATAATTGCGACAATAACACTCAGTTTGTGAAGCGCTTGCAGATTCAGAGGGAAAGGGTGAGAGGTGTGACACCTGGAAAAAAAGCACCATGCAAACCACAATTTTTTTGCAAATATAACTTTACCGTAGACATATACAGAGCAAGCCCTTTGTCGTTGCTAATCAACTCCAGGTACCCTCCACAGTCAGCAGAGTACAGGTGGTCACATGAATTTCACCCGCAAATCACCTATGTAAATTTCAAGTTCATGGGTGTGGCAAATCACAGAACTTAAATAAAATCTACAACCCCTAAGGGCAGGCTTCACATCAACCAACTTTACTCTCTACTAGTTGAATGTCCACTCCAGGCTTATCACTTGGCCTCTACAGGAGAGCCTGGAGCTGCCAGAGGACGATCTGCCCTGGCCCATGGGAGGGGTTTGCAGCCATGGCAAGCTGCTCTCTGCAAATGCAGTAGCTTTGCTCCCAAAGGGAGCTTTGACACTGGGATAGTTGGGCTAAGAAAGTTGTCATCTCAGGTGTAGGTGCCACTAATGCTGTGGGAAGAAAAAAAATTGCTTCAACTAATAAAAATTCACCATATGTTGATACTGAGCCATACTGGAAGCAGCATGGTAATATTTTTACTTTTAAGGCCTTTTCCTTCAAGAAGTGTCATTAAATAAATGCAAACTGAAAAAAGCTATGTTGGCAAAAGTTCCTAGACCGAGCTTTATTCCTAATTCACATTGAAAAGACGTAAAAAATTAACTGAAGGGTGACTGTCGCAGTCCAAATCACTTCTGGTCACTGTGCCTACTACTCTGCCCAGCATTAAAACTCCCAGAAATAAAACTTCTGGCACCTGCCATCAAATCTGTCTCTCCAAACACACACATAGTAAATCAACAACAAGAAATAAGATTTTTGCTTTGCCTTCAAACTTTTCTTCTCAGATGAGCAAACAATCCTTCTTGAAGCAGGAATCACCCCGAGAGAAAACCAGGGAAGAGCCAGTGACCCTTCTAAAGGACTCAAAAGTCTGTTCCTCCGTTTAGTGGGTAAAAACTGCTCTGTCCTAGGAGCTTGACTTTGCCTTTAAATGTCCCATGACATGTCTTGTAAAATCCATTATGCATAATTTATTAATTGTGCATTCCTTGCAGAATATGGGAAAGATTACAACTGGTCACAGACTTCAGAAGGAGGACTGTGAGATGACACAAGAAGATAAAATGAGTTTATTTTTCTCAAGGGCACTGAGACCTTCACAAGCCATTAAAACACATTCCAAAAACTAGGGTCATTTTCTCTGTTGCCTTCTGAAACATCAAAAAAACTCCCCAAAATCTCTGCAATTCCAGTTTTCTGGACTGTTAAAATTCCACAACAACAGTAATGGGCTCAAGAAGTTTGTATTCAAAAAAATACGGTAATACAGACAATATAACTTTATTTCTTCTGCTGGCTCAAGCATGAATCCTTTCTGGCAGTACCTGGAAGAGGTGTAATCTCAGAACACATGTTGCTAGAAGTTGTGTTTTTACCAGTAACATCATCACTCCTGGTGGTAATGGTGATGGCTTAATTCACAGGCCATTTTTTCATATCCCGTAAATTATGTCATTCAAAAAGTGCCATTTTAAGACACATGGCAACCCAAAAGCTGACCCAGGGTGTGAGAGGCATTTGGGTAAGTGGTTGGGTTGGACATCATCTTGCCTGTCTCTGGGTATGGTTTTTGTCATGTGCCCTTGCACACTCACTGGGCCCTTCATTTGCTGTGTGCTTCCCGCAGTCAAACAGTCTTGGGCATGGCAAATATCCAAGACACACTAAGCAATTTTAACCATGGATTTCAAAATAATTTACTTAAAAGCTGAAATATGACTCGACTTTATTCTCAAAGGGAATTTTGCCAACAACTCCTCTTGGTCGGTTACAATTCATCAGAATCCAGAGCTTGAGTTTCACACAAGCTGTTTTTATTCCTGCAAAGTCTGAGATGCCATACATCTTCCTCTGCTTATACTTTTGAAAGTTCTTTCAAAGCAGAACAATGTGACCAGTAAAACTCGGTGGATATAAATAATGAAACACTGAGCCTGAAACTGTGTACGGACTATTCACTTAAATGACAAAAAGCAATAATAGGCTTCATACGTAACAGTATTACGTTGGGTGACAGGGAAGCAACTATCTCCTTTTTGTTCAACATTAGCCAACAAAATTACTTAGTAGGGAAGCAACGATCTCCTTTTCGCTCAGCATTAGTAACACCTGACATGTGGAA